ATGAAGGAACTCGCACAGCTCACGAATGAGCTTCAGCCAAAAAGCCCTCACCGGTGGATCAGACATCAGCTGTGTCCGAACCTGCTCCAAACGATTGTGGACCCCATGTGCCCAGACCTGCCGCTTGCGAGTGGTCAGGGAGTAGGAGAAAAAGTCTGGAGCTGCTCCCTTGATCTGCTTCCAGGTGCGTCCCGACGCTGTCGGAATCCTGGGCGGACGCAAACAGAAACAAGGCCAGCGCATCTCAGTTGGAACTCAAGTTTGTAGAGTCTATGATGTGTCTCTGTTTGATTTAGTCCTATTGGGTTCATGTGCAACAATAACAAGGAAAAATATAGATATCTCAAGATTCATCAAGGTTCTAACATGTTCTAAATCAAAAATATTCAAAATGTCTCAAAAAATTTCAAAACATCTCAAAACATCTCAAAACTGTTGATACATGTTCTATCATGTTCTAAGGATTTCAAAAGCCGTCGTTCCCACTATGGAATGAAACTGGCAAATCCTAGTAGCCTCAAGCGGCATTCACCCTCATCACCTGCAGCGAACAGCGGGTTCTTCGGGAACTGGACTTTGTCCAGTTGATGAAGTGATTCCATCTGCTGCTTGATCAACAAGAAGCCCTTTGCTGAGCGAGAGTAGTTTGAAGGCACTCCTTCGATGGCTTCCTTCGCCTTCTGCACAGGCGCCACAGGCTTCGGCGCGGAACTCTTGGGCTTCATGGCTGTCTTCTTGACGCCAACCTTTTTCGCACGGTTCGCGGCACGCGCCGCTGTTTTGAAGTTCCGGACACGCTTTCGAGCAGCCGTTGGAGCTGATAATGGACCGGTCCTCCAATTGCTTGCAACCTTCTTCTGCGCATCCATGGCGGCAATGACCGAAGCTGGTGTCAAAGTCACAAAGAAGTTGTTGACCATCTCATGTTCAGGTCGAGAGCCTTCAAGCAAGCAAGGCACATGAACCCACATTGTTCTTGAAGGCCCCCAAAAACCTTGACTATAAAATCACAATACCCACACCCAACTGCCCCATAAACACGTACATCCATAAGAACCCAAAGAAAATTCAATCAGGAAACAATGGAGAACAAAAAGAGAGAGACCTCTATAAAATTGCCCTTCTACACCTCCTTCTGACCTATGAAATCCTGGCAGCTTACCTGTGGAGCTTGATACAACCAGTTTCATAGAATACCAAACAATATATCATATAATGATATTATAATATTGGTTCTCCAGGGGAGGGGCCACCCCATTTTATAGAATCAGAAACATTTCCAAGAAGGAGTTACTTGTCAATCCCCCGTATCATCCCTTATCAATCCTCCCTCATCCACCTACAAAGCACCAAGGCGCTTTCTTTCTCGCAGTCCAGGATGGCCACCAAAGCATCTCCAGAAAACACACGGCATGGGCTCTTGTCGTTGCACGTGAACTCCTTTGGTTTCTCCTGGAAGCAACTTCCCAAAAAAAAATACAAAGATCACCAACATTATATAAACATATTTATAGAAAATACTGTATATGTAAAATATTGTACAATTATGTAAGATATTGTAAGATTTTTAAACCAATTCTGTCCTCCAACGCTGTCAGCTCAACTGCACGAAAGGCAGAGCAATTTACGGGCGCACATGGCGTGACCGTGATTTTCTTCTTCTGGTTCTTCCAAACGGTGGTGACCAAGCCAATGCCAACAGACCCATCGTTGCGCACAAAGATCACCACATTCCCAGACCTTACTTAAGATATCTTAAGAGATCTTAAGAGCATTTAAGATCCATTGCCACAATCACCCAGACCGTGGAAGACCAATCCAAATGGATTAGTAGACATCTCAGAAGGTGGAGAAAAAAACAAACAGTCCCAGCTACTGTATGCTGACCGGCTCCTCCAAAAGGTTGGAAATCTGGGCGCGCAGCTCTTGTCCTTGCTGCACCCATCGCGTGTAGCGAGAAGATCGAATGCCGTGGCGAGAAGTTGGATCCTCGGCTGCAGCTTCCTCCGCAAGCTTGGCCAGGTTGCGCTGATACCAACCACATTGTTTCTGCCTCTCAGGCGGCGAGGGCAACCAAAGAGAATCACATCCAAATGGAGCAGACCGCAAGTAGACATCCAAGCAGTAAAGCCGGTTCCAGCGGTCCCCACCGCCATGCCTGGCAGATCGGATCTGTCTACATCATTCTATATCATTCATTCTTACTCCACTGATTTCTACAATACGTCATTGATTGTCATTGTATTTCTATCTTTGAAAATATGGCAAGCTTCTGCCAAGTTGCAAAGCTGCTCCAAGGGTCGTGGGAAGTCTACTTGACACTGTGGACCTACCCGCTGGTCTTTCCGCTGGCAACTCGGGAAACTCATCCAGAATGTCGCTTCGCTCTTGCTCACTCAGGCGGCCTAGATCAATTTGACGAGAGGAAAGCTCTTCCTTTGGTTCTGGTTGGCTGTCCGCGGCTAGGTCAACAATCTCCTGCATGATGTTCTTGCAGGCAAGCTCAGGCGTCCTGAGTTCTGGAGGGGGGGATGCACGAGCCAGGCTGAGGGCCTCTATCGTCAACTATCTAAGGAAAAAGCACTGGATGCACAGGGATGGCAGAAAGGAGGTTTGGAACCATTGACCAAAGATGACCAAAGTATACCAAAGTAAAGTCAAAGGCACGGGCCCTCCAAACGGGACGCAATCGCTTCTGCCTCTTGCTCTTCTTCTTCGTCACTTAAGACGGCGTCTTCCCCGAACCAATCCTGTCCACAAGACTCTTGGTAGTACGACTTCAGGGAGTTGACATCATAACCTCCACACCATGCGGCAAGTTCCAAGGCATCTTCATAAGCTTGCTCACAACACCTCTCAAACCTAAGTTTGAACATGTTTGAACCAAAAAGAAGAAAAACAAAAAGATCAAACACAGCTTCTTCTTATACAATATACCTGAGTCAATCTTAGTCATATTGGGGATTATTGGGGTAATCAGACACATCGTCAAACAAAACCAACAAAAATCAACTATTGCATACTATATCATACTATTGCCAAACAACCGTTTGTCGCTCAGCGGTGCTGGCTTTTTTTGGCGTTTCCTTGTTGGTCACGCCACCCTTCTGCCTAAGCTGTTGCAGTGTATTCAAAGCGCTGGCTCTCAGGTAGTTCTCGACGGAGAGCTCTGCACTGGACTGCGTTTGGCGGAGGACGCCAAAGTTCTGCTCGATTGTAAGCTCTGAGATTCTTGCGTGCCCGTGTTTCCACGGACGAAAAGACTCCTAAGTGGCGGTTGGTTTGGATATCTTTGGATTATTTTTTGAATGGCATGTTTTCCAGGAGGGGTTGGACCTTAAAAGGAAAGGTCTCACAAGGATCCTTGTGACACCTTTGGTATCCTTTGGTATTACGTCCTTTCAACCTCTCCTGGTTGGCTATGAAATCAATGATCCCAACCTACTCCCTGGAAATATATTTGGATATATTTGGTGTTAGATTGTGAGCTGGGGTGGGACAGGTCTATGATGGTTAAGAAGGAAGGGACCTGTCATTTTATATAAATGAAAATATTTGAGAACATCAAAAACAGAAGAATCAAGAAGACGTCAGCAAGAACGAGCATCTGTCAAAAGAACAGCCACCGTGCTCAGACACACTGCTTGAAGGTTCTGCACTGTGATGTTTGACATGCTTCTCGATCCGGCTGGCGACTGGGTGTCGCACTCCTTCTTAGCGCTTATCAGTTGCCAAAGGTCCCACAGAATGTATGCGCACAGTGCATTCTGGCATCTCTCTGCGTCTGACATGTTCCTGTGGATTCCTGGTGCGAATGCCATGGCAACGCTGACACTCCACAAGAGGGAGCCCTTGCATGCCCAAGGCACGCGTGCCATTTCCGGGTTGTCATGAAGCAGGACGAAGTAGTGCGGACAGCTCAGGATAGCCTGTATGGCATCGCTTTGTGCGTCCACACGGCAATACGCCGTGGACGGCATGCCATTCAGCCAGGCTCCAGCCATGTCGACCCAATGGTCTCCCATGTGGATCGTTCTGGCAGCAGAGCATACTTGACCACCAGTGTTCTTCACTGCGTGGCCTTGGATTGAAACGTGGATGGGGTATCACACACTAACTTTGTGGTTTTCGTCGTGTAGAAACTAGAGGTATTGCAATGAAAACACTTCCACAAACTTGTTGAAACAGCAGAGCCAAGTAGCATGAGCCAGGTAGTGCCAAGTAAGGCTCTCCTTGGATATGCGCTATCTTGAGGGGCAGCCTGGGTAGTGGATGTTGCGGCAACTCTGCGTACTTCAGCCTCGAAAAGAACTTCAGGTCAAACTGCTCAAGCATCTGCAGATCGTCTGCGTTAGGCATCCCAAAAAGCAACCGCTGGATGATCTTGTGAGTCGTAGCCCCATCGAATATCAATGCCCTGACATAATCAGCCGCTTCAGCCATGAAAGCGTCAGCCATTCTGAGGATCAAGCCGGCATCAACCTCTGAGATGTGTAGCGGCATCTCCGCTGCCGGCAATGCTACCTGTTTCTCAGCCATGGGGTCCCAGCACAAGAACGTCAGCCTTGGTTTGTGGATGGAACATCAATACATCAACATACGCAAACTATCAAAAACTAATCCAGACAACACATATCAACACAATTCAACAAATATCATGACTCCCAACGAGGAACATCTCCGAAGCTTTGCGCACCCTCTTGCTCTCCGCCTTCAGGTCCAAAGATGCACTCCCCGGATGCTCTGGATGCCATGCGCCTCCAACCAGCGTGAACTGATTCTTGGCGTCCGCATGTTGTGTCATGGTCTGCAGCATGTACGTCGCGTCGAAGGCGCACACAAGTCTGCCTCGTTGCGCTATGTGCATCTATGCGCATATTAGCATATTTTAAAAAATACAAAAGTTATCAAAAATATAAAAACAAAAACATGTCTGCCCCATACTTCCCCCGTAATTTGGCCCAAGTAGCATCCATGTGTCCGGGTCATTCCAGAGAGACGCTCGTCTATGAGCCTCATGTTTTGCTGGAGATCCTCGGGCTTGGCAATGGAAAGGAATGGTACTGGCAACGACGCTGACTCCAGCTCAGCATAGTAGTTCGTAGATCTGAAAGGTTTGGTATCAGCGCCGAACATGCTGAGTAGCTTCTTGTTTCCTCCCGCCAAGCTGAGCATTTTGCCCGCCTCGCGAGCAAGATCCCTGGCTGTCTGCGAGGCCATGCAAGAAGATGCGCGGATGCGAGAACGAGTCTGTTCTGCTCCTGTGATTCCGGCTTCTTCATTCTCCATACGCCGAAGGGCAGTCAAAGCAAGGCCTGTGAGCAACAGATTCCCGTCCATGCGTCCTGACAGCAACGCTTGCGCTATGGACAGGTTCACTTTCTGGAGCTCGGTAAAGTCTGGGTTCGCCAAGAACCTGTCGAACTGCGCCTGAGCTTGCAAAAACGCAGGCTTCTTTGATGCCACGACAATCGCATTGACACCCAGCATGCCGGATGCTCAGGAAGCTGGAGCGGACCCAGGCTTGAAGCTGATGAGCCTGCATTTTGAGCAGCTTCTCAAAGCGAACGGAGTGGCACTCACACAGAACACCCTCCTTCATGTGATAGACGAGCTTCTGCTGCTCTTCTTCGCTTTGGTACATTTGGGCAAAGAGCAAGCGAGCACCAAAGTCCTTCAACGCAGTCTTCACGATGGACAGCCTGAGGATTGGAAGAAGAGACAAGCATTTCGAGCACATGTCACGCCGGCCTGCAACGCGCGTGCATTTGGCTTCGCAGTCTCCATGTGTGACAGTGAAGCTAGCAGCGTCATCTGAAAAGTGAATGCTATGTTTTCTCAGCTCTGGGTTTTGGCAACGCCAACTCATCCATGTTTTGCAGTGCTCCTTGTAATGCACTAGCACACCAATGCCATCGTCGTCAAAGCATACACCACGACACACCACCAAGTCCTCGACAACTTGAAGCGGAGCAGAGACCTTGGCCAACGCTCTTTCATGGGCCAGCTTTGTGTGGAGCTGTCCCTTCATGTGCTGCTTCAAGAACCATAGTGCCTCGGACTTTGTGTCTGATACCATATCAAACACTTTTCCCTCTGGCTGGCGCCGGCTGGTACATAGAGT